TGTTAAAAGTTTGGTGATGTTCTGTTTTCTGTGCCACGCTGATAAAGACTGTCAAAAGGGAAGATTAGAATTTTGCATGGCAAAAATCAGTACAAGCTTGAAAAGTGCTTGTACTGTATGATAAAAGGAAAATATCACTATTTGTATGTAAAGAATGAGTATAAATCTTGAAGAAAAATATTCCAGTAAAAATGTTTGAAAGGTCAGAATAGTCATTTATGTTTTCTGTTTTTTGAATTGGACAGTAAATTGGGAAAATACAATGAATTTCATTAGTAATTAAAGCAGAATAAATTGTTTATCCTTTCTTAATGAGAAATTGGCAATATATACCAATATTTAAGAGTGTTTATTGACTTCTAGTAAGTTAACTCAAGAAAACCTCAGAACTGACAATAGCTAAAGCAGTAAAAACAGATTTTATTCAGGATTATTACAGTAGGAGAGATAGAACTGGGCTCAATTCTGAATGTAACATAGCCATAGAAATTTTTAGCCAAGAAGCAGGTGGGGGTTGGTGGATGGAAAATTAGAGGAATATCAGGGATAAGGGGGGATTGTGGCTAAACCAACCTAACAGGATTCTTGCTGAAGACACACTGGGATGATTAGACCTCACCTGGGGCATGGTGGAGGATAAGGAACCCAATTAGATATCAAGTGTGATCTTTTTTGGAGGATAGGGTTTCTTGCTACACTGACTTATCAGGGTTCTTAACAAAACTGGATTTTAAAAGGAAGTGCACAGATGGGCATAGGAGAAGGCTTAGGAACCTGACTAATGTTTGGTCCAGCCAAGAATCCTTGTCAGTGGTCAACAATAGGAAATAACTCAAATGAACTCTGAATTTTGGTTGATATTCCCTCACAATTAGAAATGGAGTGTGCTTCTTTGGTAGGAATATTATAGAACAGGCTCAGGACAAAAGAATTCAAGTATATGGTGTTCAGTACTCATGACAACAATGTTGATCACCTAATTAAAGTGGTAACTGCCAGGTTTCTAGTTGCTCTTTACACTTTTTAAATTTATAAGTGTTTTGTAGGGAGGTACTTTGAAATCATTTAAATATCCTGTTCTTCAGATTGCTGCTTTATCCTTATCCATATGACCTCATAATTTTCTATTTTATTCAGTGGGTTAGAACCAGTTACTATTATTTATTTTGATGCTCATGCTGTCTCCAGTTTGGTCAGCAGGAGTCCCTTTAAGCAGGCTTCTGTGTTCTTGTGGACATATCCTATCACTCTTAAGGCATTTTCTTGCTTTTTAGAAAGCACAACTAGATGTTTCAAACTCATTTCGTACTTTTCTTCCACAGAACTCAAATCAACTGTTTCTTTCTTATAGTGGAGAATGGTACTTAGAAATCAAGATCTAGACACTAGGTGTGTACATATTGCTGCTTCCGGGTCCTCTAAGTAGGCAGAGCTAGGGACTGTGTGTGTGTATAAAAATTTATAAAAATGTATACTCTCACATATGTTACCTTTATCTTGCTCTTTATTGGAACCATGAATTCCCATAGATACACTTAATTTCAAGCCATTGCCTCACAGTTCCTCTTCATTTCCTTACACTGGGCTCCGATAACTTGCTTTGAGCCAACGGATGCTCCAACTTGATGGAGATGCTTTTATCTTTTCCTAATTGCTTTCGGACTGAATAGTTCAAGAAGGTTTGGGAAAGAGGACCCTCCTTCTCTTTAAAGCATAGTATTTTTGTATTTTGGGCACAATGGGAAAATACCTGGTAATAGTTGTGACACAATACTACAGATCATTGAGCCCTATGCTTTTAGCCCTAATTACATTTACTACCATAGTTGGTTTCCTATAACTTATGGCTTTGAAACCAAGACACAGTAGGATTTCTAATTCTTAGATATTCATCATTATCACAAGTAAATCATTCGCAGCATTACACTCGGTCTGTTTAGATGATAACAACTGTTACTCCTCTAGTTTATATAATCTTGAAGTTGTAGACTGGCGTGTTAAAGAGCTGCTTTTTCCCTTCTCATCTGTTTCTATCACCTTTTTCTACATCCTAGATGAACAGCTTTCTCTTTCTTTTTCTCTTTTAGTCCTTGCTACTTTGTCCCCTTCAGGTGCTTCTAGTATACGCATGTCTGAAACTTGAAGGAACAGATCAAAAGCAAAAGCTCTGATGGTACATAGATTCTAGGCTCCTTTGAGCCCCTCCTCCCTCCTTGTTTATCAACTTTGTATAGTCTTTATTTTTACTTTGTTTTATTTGTCTTAATATGTTTGCTACCTTACTTGGTCTATCCCTGTATAAAATTGTGATGGAATTTGCCCTAACACTAACTTGACACTTTTAGGATACTACTTTCAGAAACTGAAATTTGACTTCCTGAATTGCAGCTGCAAGCACAGTGTGCACTTGCACACTCCAGGTGCTAGGAGACCATCCCTGTTGGACCAGTGCCTCTTATGGTTCCTGTGTCAGAAAGGGGAATTTTAAAAAATTTTTGGGTTGGAGCCTCACTCTGTTGCCCAGGCTGGAGTACAGTGGTATACTCATGGCCACCCCCACGTCGACTTGCTGGGCTCTGGCGATCCTTTCACCTTTGCCTACCAAGTAGCCTGAACTACAGGTACAGGCACATGCTACCTTGGCCAGCTAATTTTTTATTTTTATTGTAGAGATGAGGTCTTGCCAAGTTGCTCAGGCTGGTCTCGAACCTGCAGGCTCAGACAGTCCACTCGTCTTGGCCTCCCAAAGTGCTAGGATTACAGGCTGAGCCACGGAGCACCAGCCGAAAGGGGAATTTGATATTGTATGTGTCCATTCTTCCTCCTCCTCTCTAATATTGGCCTTAGAAAGCAAATAGCCAGTTTCTTCAGATCCTTCTCCTAGCCTAAATTGAATGATATGTTGTTCTTCCTCTATGATTGATTCTTAAATAGGAACTTTATTTCTCTTCCTACTTTCTTGAGATTTTTAGAATTCTCAGGCCCTCAGTAAACCATTTTCAAATTAGCCTTCTATATTCCTTCTTTCAATATTTGTTGCAATGTATTTTGTTTCTGTCCCTAAGAGAACCCATTCTTTGGCAGGGTTAATTTTCTGGTGACTATTTTTCCTCTTTCCAGGTAAATTTGTAAGCATAGGTATTTGCTGAAAACATAAAGGACATGACTCTCTCTTTTTTTTTTTTTGAGCTGGAGTCTCTCTCTGTCGCCCAGACTGGAGTGCAGTGGCCGCTCCTGGCCACCACAGCCTTGACCTGCTGAGCTCCAGCGATCGTTCTGCCTCAGCCTTCCAAGTAGCTGGAACTACAGGCGCGCGCTACCATGCCCGGCTAATTTTTTGATTTACTGTAGAAATGAGGTCTCGCCAAATTCCCCAGGCGGGTCTCGAACCTGTGGGCTCAGGCAATTCACTCACCTCAGCCTCCCAAGGCGCGGGATTACAGGCTGAGCCACCGAGCCCGGCCTGACTCTCTTTTTAATTTATAATTTTGTTTTATTGTAGATTCAAGGAATACATGTGTCTATTACATAGATATATTGCATAATGTGAGATTTGGGTTTCTGATGAGCGTGCCCCCAGGAAATGGCTCTTGTATAGGAGAAAATAGTTTGAACATCTTATGCTATAAGAGGATCAATTAGTCATTTAACAATACAGAGATATAGGATTATTTAAGGGTTTTGGGGCACATTGATTAAAAAAGGTGAAGTAAGATGGTGGAAATTAGTTTTACACAAGAATTTGATCAAAGATAGTGACATAAAAGAATAGGAAATAAAGAGGAAAGTATATACCATGTGGGAAGATTGATCTACTAAAATATAGGCGTTGAGACTGATTAAAGGAACTATTTCTGCAACTTACTTTAATTGAGGACCTTTTATTATGTGAGCTTTTCTGGGCTATGTAGGTAGATTAATTTTTATGATAGAACTCTGCTTTCAAGAAGTTTAGTATAGTAGTTAGAAGGACATTATTATTTATTTTTATTTTTTTGAGTTGTAATCTCACTCTGTCCCCCAGACTGGAGTGCAGTGGCACACTCACAGCCACCGCAGCCTCAACTTGCTGGGCTCAGGCAGTCCTTCCTTCCACCTCAGCCTTCCAAGTAGCTGGAACTACAGGCGTGTGTCACCACACCCAGCTAATTTTTTGTTTTGTTTTAGAGGTGAGGTCTCACTAAGTTGACCAGGCTGGTCTTAAGCCTGTGGGCTCAGGCAATCTCCTTACCTTAGCCTCCCAAAGTGCTGGGGTTATAGGCTTGATCCAAGCGCCCGACCTTAGAAGGACATTTTAAAAATAAATTGAAATATAATGTGACAAATGCAGTGTCGGATTATGTGCTGTAATTACAGTATAGCCACAAATGAGAGATGATGAATTCTGTTTCAATCATTTAAGAAAGGTTTCTGAGGTGTTCACTGGGGTATGTTTGCCAGATTAGACTCATGAGCAGTTAGGGTACAGCAGAAGTCATTTGATGTTGAATAAGGATGGTTTTGTGGTAAAGGAGGTAACACTATTTAAAGCTTAATTTGGAATTAACTGTTTATGGCTTTTTGCTTTATTAAAAAAATGCTTTTACTTATAAATTTCTATTAACATTTTGTGCTGAATAGAAGGTGTCATGAACCTTGTTTAATGAGTCAGAATTTACTTTTCTCTTATATCTTCGACCCATGGATAGAAAGATAGCTTGGCACAATAATTGATCTTGTAACTTAATTCATATATGAAAGGATTCAAGAAAAACATTGTTGCTAGATTTTAATGTTATTCAAATAGTAATGGATGCTTAAAAATACATTACTATGTTGTTGTTGACTTGCATAAAGACATTCTTTTTGTTTATGTCCTTAGGTGTACCTTGAGGGAGTGGGGCATACCTTGTGGCCCTACAGTGTTGTCAAGCTCAGTACCCTCCCTCAAAAAGAAAAAAATAATAAAAATATATGTCAAAAGTAAAAAATTTCTGTAAATGGTTATTTTTCTTTTATAGGCAGTAGATCATCTAATGCAAAATTACCCTCAGTTCCAACAGTTGGATCTGTTTCGCAAGACCCGGTTTCAAATATGAGGTATTTAAGCTGCTAACGTATATATTATGATTATGCCTCTTGATGACTCTTTAAACTGTCTAGCTGCATTTCTCCTCCCTCCCTCCTACCCTCCCTCCCGTCCCTCCTTTCCCTCCCTTTCTTCCTTCCTTTCTTTCTGTCAACATATATGACATTTAGAGACTTGAGAATATTTTAGGAGTTCATTTTAGTTTAAAGGATTATGAGATGTAAAAGGTTCATGAGAAGTGACTATAATTGCTACATGTGTAGCATATTTTATTTAATAAACTTGTGGCTCATGTTTCAAATTATTGTAAATTGAAAGTTTGGAGTTTGTACTTCCTCTCCTGTAAAAATAGTGAAATAATAAGTTGACAATCAACCAAAGCCATAATGATACTTAATCGTAGACAGATTTTTACTGTTACTTACCTTGTTTAATTGGGAATATGCATTTCATAGTTTAATTTGGAATTTGAATGTGTTTTCCACGACTGGAACCTTACTGACCAGAGAGTTCTTGATTTTCCTTTCCACAACTGGAATATGCAGAGCACTCCATAAATGTAGACACTTGGTGCTTCAAGTGTAGGCTCATATTTGTGATATAATCCAGGGATAACAAGTTATCTGAGACAAAGAGAAAAATAGTATTTAAGGTAGTACCTGTGAGGAGGCGAACTGCTGTGTGAATTAGAAGTAAAACTAGTGCAAAATAGTAGATAAGTAATGACTCTTTGTGTATATGTTAGATTTATAAGTTAGGAAATAAACCTGTGGATACCTCTGAATTTCCTAAAATGTGTAGGGGATTTTTGAGTTCATTAAATATACAGTATATGTGTATGTATGTATGAATGTGTATATCGACTTACAAAGATACATATTAATATGTAAACAGATTATTATAAATGCTATAAAGTATATTATTTTCAATAGAAAAATCATTCAGATTGCATCAGAAGGGAATTGCTATTGACTTCATTGAAAAAGAACTGTTTCTTACAGTTTATAAGCCTTTATTGCATTTATACTATATGCTGTAAGTAAGAATTTAAGAATAAAGACATGAGTCTTCAGTTCAGGGTGTTGATTTAGTGATGAATAGACAAATCTGATGAAGATTTGATAGGGTTTATTTAGATTATAATGGGGCTAAAAAGATAGTGCCAGTTGAAACTTCCAATAAGAACTGATGCTTGTAGTGGCTGTTAGCCAGGTTATTTGTGAGGTATGGTGGGAAGGCAAGATAGATAAGGATACAAAAGAATATTCCAGGCAGAAGGACTGCTATGCATAGCAATAATGCCTCTTTAGCTAATTTACGATTTTTCACATAATTTTCTATTTGTATCTTTATATCTTTATTTTAAAATCATAAAATTCATAAATTCTATTGAATAGTTCAGGTAATTTAACATCTTTCTATTAGTATTACAGAGAGACTTGAACATGCTTTGGAAAAGGCAGCTCCTCTTCTACGAGAGATTTTTGTGGATTTTGCACCTTTTCTTTCTCGAACACTTTTGGGAAGCCATGGACAAGAACTGCTTATAGAAGGAACAAGTAAGTGGTATTTCTTTGTTTTATTTATATTTATTTACATTTCAGGGTTAAAAACTTAAATGGATAAGATATACATCAAGTTTATTGTTTAAGTGTTTTCAACCTTGACAAGGTTTCTCATAGAGTCTGTATTTTTTGAAGACTATATCACATGTCTCTAATATATTCTAATTTGTCCAAGATTTTTATCAGAGATTTGGATGAAGAAATTTAGGTGTTGAACTAAAAAACTAAGAGATTTTTTTTTGACTCATTAAAATTAACTTTGAGAGAATTGGAGGGACACAGGGTTTTACTTAAAGTTAAGATCCATATAAACAGTCGTGTATTGCCACATAATTGAAGAGTGCATTTTTAGTCTCTATTAGTAGAATTCTGTTTTACAAATAAATAGAGATAACATTTTTGTCTCTATCCTGCTTACATTATACATCGATTACTGAGTCTCTTCTCAATAGTGTATTTTAAGATCATGTCAAACCTAGATAGCATGCAGAAGTCGACTGGTAACCATACTTTTTATGGAATGGATGAGAAATAATGGGACATTTTTTGCATGGAATATTTGCCATGCAGCAAGTCTTAAAATATTAGGGAGAGTGACTTAACCAGGTGAACGTAGGTTTTCTCTGAATTTCTTCAGGCAGCAGATACCAGTTCAATAGAGGATAATTTTTCAATCAATTAGTTCCATTTAAAGGCTTAACAGACTGACTTCAAAATACCAATCTTCATTTTCATAACTAGGGATTTTTTTTAAGGAGAAGCTAGAGGGCCCTCACCAATGATGATATAGAATTAATTTTTGCATTAAAAAAGTTGGGACTAGGTGTTTGCTAAATCTGACTTGTCTTTGTCTATGTTGGTGGTTTAGGATAAGACATTTATATTCTCCTAAAGCTGAAAAATCATGGGAAAACACTCCCATCTGTATTCCAGTGTCATTAAATATCAGCTTGCAGCTTTAGTTATTCTAATTGTTGTTGGTTAACAGAAGCTAGATCTGCTAAGGAATTTTTAAACTTGTGAAAAGCCTCCTCTTTTGTAGAAATAAGAATATAGTGGAAATGCAAGGAGTAGGTAGGTTAATAGTTTAAGATATCTATATCTGAGTGTTAACTGGAATATGAGCATTTCATTGGACTCAAAATATATAAGTATTAAACTTCAGCTAGGAATTTCATCTCTGCTGTAGATGAATACAGAGTAGATAATGAGTGATCTCAATTCCTAGGGTCAAAAAGTAGCAACAAACTTATTTGAAAAACTTTTGAACGACAACTATGAACTATATTTAATTTTATTACCATAAAAAAGTGAGTAACATAAAATGTGTTAATTATAAACTTTCAATGTAGCAAGAAATTGTTGCTTATTAGTTGGCTTATGAATTTTATAATAGGGCTAATAAAATAGGATCATATTAGATACCCCACACACATGTTAGAAATTGATAATTTTAGATCCTTGAACAAAAGTTAGGATCAATTTTTTGCTGTTAAGTTCTGATAAAATCATAAGAACAAAGAAGATGTAATCATTGGATTATGTTCATAAAAAGAGCCAAGAAATCTGAGGGTTCTTATGTGCCGTATGTTTGTATTTTAAGTTGTGAGAGATGTTTTGGGATGTGGTTTTATGCAACATAAAACAGAAAAGTTTTGATTGCAGCTTATTAGTATACAAGCAACATAGTCCTAAACAAAATGTATTGACATAAAAACAGGAGACCTTGGTTTTGATTCTGTCCTTGCCAGTGTCTAGCTATGTGACCAGGCACTGGAAAGCTTAAATTTTTACAAATTCTAATGAGGTTTTTTTTTTCATATTTAAAACAATTTTTAATGAGAATTTTAAATATTCTCAAAAGTATGAAATACAATATTTATAAACTATTCAAATTCTCTTCATTATTCCATAATTATTTGGTATTTTACTTTAGTATCTAAAACAGTGTTAGACATTGTATCATTTAACCCTGAATACGTAATAACACGTGTGAAAAAAGATATTTTCTTACCTAACCACAATTTCTTACTACTACTACTACTACTACTACTAATAATAATAATATGTCTTAATATCATCTAATACTCAGTCCATATTTATCTTTATTTTAAAATGTCTTTTTATAGTTGAGTTTCTTCCAATTAAAATAAAAAAAAATAATGTATTGCATTTGGTTAATTCCCTTAAGTCTGTTTTAATTCTTATGAATCTTATAGTTTCCTCTACTTCCCCTGTTTCCATGCTATTATCTTGTTGAAGAAATCTGGCTGGTTATTCTGTAGAATGTTAAATATTTTGGGACCCTGAGACCATTGCTTCTTTGTGATGTCATTTAAAAGTTCCTCTATCCCATGTATTTTCTGAAGATGTGAAGTTAAATCTAAAAGTTTAATTAGATGTAGTACTTCATATTCCATTATGTCTGAGTCACATACTGTCTGTTCTAATTTTAGTTATGTTAACCCTTTTTCAGGTAATTATGATCACTTTAAGGATGTTATTTTACTTATTTTGATCTCTAAGACTTTATTAAAGCTTTTAAGATTGAAATCAACAAGGGTACTTGCATAATGAACATTTGTATACCTAACCCTGAATTGTACCCCACATCTTTAAAATAAAAAATTTTTTTAAAAAAGAAATATTCCAATATTTTTAAAAGAGATCTTCCAAAGAGGAAAGAGAACATTAACTTAAAATTTTTAAAATTCTGTCTTACAATTACTGTGAGTTCAATCCTTTTAGAAGTTTAAGATTCATATGGGGTCTTAGTGATTTTTTTTCTATATCTTGAAATATTTTTCTATTTCACTGCACATCAGTTATTCTTTACTATGCTAGGGACCAAAATAATAAGCACATAAGAATGCTGGAATTGCCCCTAAGATGATAGTACAGCAGGAAAAGAAATCATTATTCTTGAATATTACCTTCAGTCTTCTTACTGCTTTGCCCAAAGTATGGCATTGTATTTTATTTTATTACTTAATAAGTTTTTTGATTCAGCATCTCAGTTTGTCACCCAGGCTGGAGTGCAGCGGCATGATCATAGCTCACCACAGCCTCAACCTCCTGGGCTCTTGGCAGTCCTTCTACCTCAGCCTCCTAGGTAGCTGGGACTGTAGACGTGGGCCATCACACCAAGCTAATTTTACTCTTTTTTGTAGAGATAGGGTCTGTTATGTTTCCCAGGCTGGTCTTGACTTTCTGGGCTCAAGCAATCCTCCTTCCTCCACCTCCCAAAGTGCTGGGATTATAGGCATGATCCACTGTGCCTAGATGCGTTGTATTTTAAGAAAGGATAAACTTGCATTCTCAGTGGGGGCAAAAACTTGTATTTGAGGTAGGTAAAATATTACAGTGATTTGTGACCACTCCAAAGGGGTTTAGTACATCTGTATATTGTATGAGCATGTTATTCAGTAAGAAGGACTTTGTTGTGCTAAATTTTTGTGATGATTTGTGACAAGAACCTGGACAATTCCATTAAAAAAAAAAATAACAGTGTTCTTCCATCTTTTGTGATTATTATTATCATCATAGTTTACCTACTACAGTTTTTATGTGGATAAATGCTAAAGGCAGGTATGCATATGATGATGAGTAGAAAGGAAAGTTCATATAGAAATGAAAATATTAGCTGGGCTTGGTGGCTCAGCCTGTAATCCCGGGCCTTTGGGAGGCTGAGGTGAGTGGATTGCCTGAGCCCACGGGTTTGAGACACGCCTGGGCAGCGAGACCTCATCTCTACAATAAATCAAAAAATCAGCTGGGCGTGGTAGCGCATGCCTGTAATTCCGGCTACTTGAAAGGCTGAGGTGGAAGGATAGTGGGAACCCAGCAGGTCGAGGCTGCGGTGGCCGGGAGCAGCCACTGCACTCCAGTCTGGGCGACAGAGTGAGACTCCAACTCAAAAAAAAAAAAAAAGAAATGAAAATATTTAGTGGATTAATGACTCTAAATGATGTTTGTAACTCTAAACAAGAAAATATTTTACAAATCTAGAGCAAATGAGATTGCCTGTCTGCTCTTCAATAAACTTTTGAGTCATCTAACTTTTTCACAGTGTCAGATTTTATGATGTAAGCCCAAGAAGAAAAAACAGAATTAAGAATGTGTTTGAAGCATTGAAGCATTGAAATCTGAAATGAATATTCACAAGATGGATGTATTTTAGATTCATGATGAGCATTTAGTTGCATCCAAAAGATAGTGCTCATTTGGAGTATATACATATACCTTCAAAACCATAAAAATGTGGAATTGGCATTTGAGTTTATTATTTTTAAATTCTTATTGAAATTTCTAATAATATTTATCACCATCCCATTTTTTTGTAAATTATTTAGAATGGCTTAACATATTTTTAAAAAGTATTTTTATATTCCAGATGGTTAATGGTCATGACTTTTTTTATGGTGTACTTAAGGGTTTAGATAGATTAGTGGTTTTAAATAGTTCTTAAAGTCTGACTGTAAATCTGAATACAAATTTACAGGTTTATTATTCATGTCATGCAGCAAATGTCACCCAAAGGCAGAAATTTAGGTCAGAAATAGAAGTGTTTTAAGTTGTGCAGTCTGATGTCAAGTTCTTTATTGGGGTTATCCCCTGTTTCTTTACTCCCAAAGTTACATATTTGTGTTTATAGTACCAGTATCCTTTAGGCAGGGAGCTTAATATCAGAGGTCTAATTTCAAGTCTCTTGTGTCCCCTGAAGCCCTTACTCATGTAAAATTGACCATACTCTCCACCCTGCTGTCCCAGCAAATCAACCATCAACCCCCTCCACGCCCACAATTATTCAAATCAAAATGTGAAATGTTATTTGACTTTTTACTAGCATTGGTATTAGGAGTTGGTGTCAGTTTTTTGCTGATAATTCATATCCCAACTAGATAGCAGCTACCAACCTTCTTCTTGTTTACTAATCTTTATTATTGGGAAATAGACTGAAATAAATAGATAAATTCAAATATGTGTGTGTAAATTTTTTACTTAATTTATAGATATGAAGTATTCTATGATATGTATAGTGAAAGGGATAAAAGAGCACTGTAAATCTTACTAATTTTGGATGGCCCAAGTTCTTTTTTTTAAAGCACAATTGTTTTATGAGCATTGTTTTGCTATATCTGAATAGATAAAAAAGGTCCAGATCACGACCCAATGGCAGCAATTCTGGTGCCTCTAGAATAGAGCAATAAGGATTAAATGACTCATGTGTGGAAAGATCTGAGTTTACTTTCTGTGGGTAATGGGTTTTGAAGTTGGAGTAGAACGGAACTTCTGGTGTCTAGGTTACAGTTTATGAGGCGTGGCCAGCTTTCAGGCCAGCAGAGGGCTGCATCAGCAATGACAGAGTATTGCTCTGCCCTTTCTTTTGGCCTTGGCAGCATTAACTTGAGCAGCTGTGTTCTTCTTAACCCTACAGAAACCACCCTTCAGTCTAGTTAGTGACCTGCTCATCTGATGCAACATATAGACACACTATAGCTAATTTTCATGCTGGTACTGACATATTTCTGTTATCTGTTTTTTCAGACATTGAGGAAATGGTTCTAACTTTTTTTTAGAAAGTGAAAAAGGTGAACAGCCTGTTTTACTGCAGTGCTATTTGTAAAGCTGAAACATACCAACATGTGTTATTATTAGTTTTGAAGCTTTATTATTAAACAAGAGGAAGACCTGCCTGGGCAACACAATGAGACCTTGTCTCTACAAAAAATAAAAAATTAGCCAGGTGTGGGGTGTGCACCTGTAGTGCCAGCTACTTGAGGCTGAGGTGGAAGGATCACCTGAAGCTAGGAGGTCAAGGCTATGGAAGCCCGTGATCGTGCCATTGCACTTCAGCCTGAGTGAGAGTTGAGATTTCTACTCAAAAAGAGGGTGGGGTGGGGGAAGGAAAATGAACTTAAAGAGCAAGAAGATAAAAGAAAGGTAATCCATAGGATACCTGAAAGAGCTTTACTGGTGAGAAAAAAAAAGAGGGTAACCTTGTAGGGTGCTTAAAGGCCATCAGGAATTATTTTAGATGTTACATCCTGAAAACTTAGCTTATATTTGCTTAGAAAGATGTAGAATAAAAAATTATAATTTTTCTGAGTATTAGTAACGTAATTTAATAATTTAATTCTTTTAATTATTGGCATTGCTTTTTAAAGATACTGGCTATAAAACTTTTTTGTATGACCTACTTTAGATTTTATTAGTAATTTAAAAACTAAAGAATTTTTAAAATAGGTAATAACTTTGTAAAACTTCCTTCCTAAGGATATCGTTGGTGAACCAAAATGAAACATAAGGCAAAAATGTAAATGAATTAATTTATAGGAAATCAAGAATATATAACAGACGATGGCTTGCATTTCTGTTAAGGTTTAGTGTGAGGTCAGAGGTCAAGGTACTAATAAGAGTGTTTGGGATGTCTGCTGCCATGAAACAAAATGGAAACTTGATTGATAGCTAGAGGGTTGAAGGGAGAGAGTGTGGTGGAGAAAGCAAAGGTCAGGGAGCCATTTCCCTTCTCTGCATGTATAACGATCAACTCTCCAAAACAAAATGTAGATGATATTGATCAATATGGCATATGTTGTGCACATTTCTATGAGTATTGTGCAATGTCACTATAAATGAAGTTGTAATAAATGTTTTAGCCTTTTGAAAGGTGAGATGGAATAGTTTACAAAAAATGTTGGTGGTTTTAATGTCAGGTTTAAAGTAACTGTCTTAGAGTACTGTGTTTAATCATATGACCAAGTGTGTACTAATTTGATTCTTAGCAAGTTATAAATGTTTTATTTTAAAAATAAATTTGGATGAAGTTATATAACAAATGCCTCATGTTTGTTTTTTTACTTTTTAACTTTGTTAAAAATTTTCTTTAAAATAGGTTTGGTTTGCATGAAGTCTAGTAGTTCAGTTGTGGAGCTGGTTATGCTACTGTGCTCTCAGGTGAGTGACTAGAATAAATGTTGAGTTAAAAGTAAATTTTCACATGAATTTGTTTTGACAGGGAAGTTATACTTGAATTACTGAAATTTTTGCTATAATAAAGTTTCCAGTTTATCGTTTTAAAATTTGTATTGAAAAAGGATTACTTTTTGTTTTTGATACTTGCAGATAATTTTGAAGCAAGCATTAAGAAAAACTGGGTAGAAAAATTAGAAACAAAGGTTTTTAGAGTCACATTAAACATGTCTAGATCAAATGATCTTGATATGACTGAATTTCTTTGCTGTGTATATTAAGATTATAGAAATAGATTTATTTCTGTATCTTGAGGAGTGCCATGCTGACTCCACTGGGAATTGTGGGTTTACCTCCCTTTTGTACAGAGGTTATAAAATAAGTGATAAATAATTTTGAATCCTTGTCATTGCTAATTATTTTTGACATAAACAGTAGATTTGGGAAAAACAGCAACAGAAATGTGGCAGCCATCATAATAAGATGTAGAAAATAAATTCCTAAGAGCAAAATTACTTCAGTGTTTAGAAGTCTTGTACTTTATCTGGTAGCCATTAATGATATTAAAAAAAACTTATATAAAAATCATTTATCCCATAATGTTTTGTTTTCTGTTTTGCAATTAAACAGATGGATGTTTTTATTGAGAGTTTTCTTTGTAGTCTTTAAAAAGTGATATCTAGATGGTAGTAAATTCCCCCACTTAAAACTTTAAAATAGCCTTTTTTAATAGGAAAGATATTGGTCTAGAGGTCAAAGGTTTTGAAATGGGTCAAAACCTTTGACCTTCATTTACAACTCTCATGGTTTACTTGCCTAACGAATTAGGATAATGCAAAATTAATGTTTCTTTGCATCGATTTATTTGTTTTAGCACCTATATTGCCAAATTTATTTAGACTGTGCTGATGGACATTTCATGAATACAAATTAAAGAATCATAGAAGGTGTGAAAAATCAATGCTGTGCATTGTCAATAAAGTGTAGTAAGAACAATTACTTCTAGAGATTACACCTAATGGATTTTTATAATGAACTTGTGAGGAACAGTTATGTTTTTTAGTGGGCTTATTCTTAGATTCAGTGAGAACCATGTTTTTATAATTTAATCATCCCCTTTAGAAAACTCTTATTTCTTCAAAAGCTGACTAGATACAATTTTCATTAAGCCATCAGATTTGAAATAATTGATTGCTTCTGTATTGGATGAAAAATACTGTGTACCATTCTTACACCTACATGAAGTTATCCTTACTTGTAAGAAGCGTTCATGTATGGTTTTGGATGTTTCTTCACAATAATATGAATTTTTTGTTTACAGTGGTATGATTGTTTCATAGCTGAATTCTGGTAATGAAGTTTCATTTTCTAGTTTAGAAGAATTTAATGTATTTTGAAAGCTATTTCAGATATAGTATAATACATATTTGAATGTTAAAAGCTGCAAGATAAAGAATGACATGTTTTAATATGCCTATTTGTCATGTATGTCACAGTACTGTTTAATACTAGTCCAATCAAATGGGATATTTAAATCACTTTGGAGAATAAGTTTCAAAAGTCCGAAATTCTCAAGGTTTTTGTTTCTTTTTGTTTTGTTTTGTTTTTGTTTCAATAAAATACATTATTGAGTATTTGAAGTCCTAACATTTTTTATGAGTTCTTCAAAAGTTCTATGTCATCTCTACAAGACATAGCACAGTGTGAAAAATGATGTGAAAAATGAAACCAGAATTAGCTCCAGATGTATACAGATTGTTCCTGGGTGATAATTACATTTTTCACTTTGAATTTTCCTAATTCAAAGAGGTCAACTTGGCAATCACAAAAGTGATTTATTTTGTTAAGAAGTGAACTGTCTTTTTCTACATGAAAGCTTAAGAGATATGAAATTGAATTTCAAGTCGACATTTTGCAGATACTGGGAGGGGATGGTTTGAGTTTGATTGATAATTTTTTTTGGTCTGAGATAGGGTGGGAAGCAAAAAGCTACCATCTTGCTAAAATTTTAATTAATTTTTTAAGAGGAGATGGAGAGGATTGAGTGCCAAAGATCGAAAGATCAGGTCAAAAACTCCCTTTTAATCACATAAATAATGGGATATGCTTATGAACTTAACATCTGCAAATTTGATTTAGAACTTTACAAATTAGTTGGTGTTAATTTCATGACAATCAGCCATGTTCTGATTATTTTTCTTGAGCCCATTTAAAACTTCTTTTTGCATACTTTTTAACAAGTTGTTTAACCACGTTTTGATAATTTAGAACCTAAAATTAAGAAATGAGGAGATGATCACATTTGGTTTGTTGACAAGACCAAATAGATCATTATATAGTTCTTTACAGCTACAACTAGTATTATATTTTTCAATGTCCAATTAATAGTTGATTAGGCGCATTTCATATTTTATGCTATTTAAATTTTGACATTGCCTAGGCAAAATGTTATTATTTAGAGTTGGAAAGCTCTCTTACAATACTCATCATTATATTTTTTTGAGTAAAATTAACATATATTTAAGGTTTATTAAATTAGATTTATTCTTATATGAAATCCCATTTATATTCCAAAGACTGATTTAAATCATCTTTACTGCTTATAATAAGACTGCATAGATTCTTCAGGAAACTGTGTATTCTCTGATGCATACAAAAAAATTGGCCAAGTTCTCAGTTCTGTTTCAGATTCAGTTTTTCACAAGTGTGCTACTTATTTGTGCCCCAAATTTGTTGTGTGTATATAAACCTGTTGGAAATCTATATGAATTTGAAGAAAATATTAAATAACTGTTTCAAGTAGTATTACTTCAGCATCATATAAAGTGTTTGTATCTTGCTCATTTGACATTAATATCATTTTTGAAAGAATTGACATTGCATTCAAGGCCACTTTATAAAAGCATTGCGTTGCTCATCCTAATTCAGTCTGACATACATTCCAATAACACTACCTCCCTTCTTGGGTTTAAAGCTAAATTTATGACTGTGCATTGTGAAGTGCATCATTTAAAAATGGTTTCAACCCAAAACATCTAATAAATAAATAATGTGTATGGCTACTCAGTAGTAGACTTTCTAGACTAGAAATCATTCCATCGGATACTCAACAGTCCACTATCGGAGAGGGCTGTCAGATAAATCTTGTGGTAGCTGCATTCATGTCCTGTAAATCACATATTATTGTCTGAGCCTTCTGCCAGGTCATCTATTCTTTTCCCATTTATCAGAAATGCATCCAGTAGATAGAACAACTAGAAGCACCTTGTAGTCTGGCCTGGCATCCTGTCTGAGTAATTAATTAGTAGCAAAAGTTAATTTAATACACTATTTCAATGTGACTATTCTTTAAACATTTTTAAATCAAAATATGTAGATTGTTTGCTGCTATTTTGGGAAATAATTCCTCTACTTGAGGGGAATTATGTAAGGTTTGACCCAAGTGTTTCTAGACCTCTGAATTATTAATCTAAAAATTATAATATTTACAGTGCAGATCAGCACCATTTTAATGATTCTTTTATGTCGATTCTGTGCCAGTTTTATGCCAATTTATTTCTGAATCTTTATAGTAAAATCTTTCTTTATTCTCCATACTTCTATAATTTCTCTTCTGTAATCCTGGGTTTCTTCTCCATTTTGAGTTTATTCCTTCTGAATATCTGACACTAATATTGTTGCTTTTGTCTGTTTAAAAAAGTTCATTGACTTTTCTTTTTTATAGTTGTGATAGTTTTATACATGCATATTTTGAGTATGAGTAAATTATTAAAAGAAACCAAAAAAAGGGCAGGCTAGTTCTATACCAGTGTACAAAGGTGTCCCATCATCATTAGGCCTTTCTTATTGCTTGAACTTCATGTCTTACCACTTAGATTTTGTGTCTGTTCTCAAACCATGCCAAAGTATTTAACGATACCCAATTGTGCTATCACATTTCTGTGCCATGACATATTCTTTTATCTATCTCTAAAATGTCCCTCTTTCAAAATCTGGTGGCTCTAATTGTTGACTGCTTCTTATTTAGAGCTCAGCTTAGTTTTTCCTCTGGCCATCATGTATATAGTAGTTGGTATCTTTTTTGTTTGTCTTTATTTTGGCACCCATCATAGAATTTACCACAAATTGTAAGTACACAAATGTTAATTTGTTTACTTATTTGTTGTAAGTCTTCCTCTTTGAGTTTTAGACTTTATTAAGGCAGCAACTATTTATGTTTTGCCCATAAAGTGTACCTGGTACTAGCACAGTGCCTGGCATGTGATGACTGCTTAATGATTTATGACAAAAATAAACCATTCAGCTCCTAGCTAAATTACAAGCTCTTCTGGAAAGTTTTCTTTGACTTGTCTGTTTTCCACAACTCTCTGCTTATATGAAGTATCATTCAGAACACTCACTGACCCATATTGTAGTGATTTCATTCTATGTTTAAATTACCTATGAATTTTCTTTCTCTTTCATTTAGACTACAAGTTTCTTGAAGGCAATCATTGTTTTGCTTTCTGTTTTATCTGCAATGTCCGGCATAGTACCATTTAACCAAATGTTTATATACTTGTACAATTAATATATGAATGGTAACATGGATCATCAATCACCCTATTTGAGACTTTTGCCTTTTGGTGTCTTTCTTTATGAAATACTCCCACACTTTTCAATATTAATCAGTTTTTATATTAAGTCTTTGTTTTCATTAAGACAGATCTTTTGTCATTACCAAATATTATAGTTATTTTCATTTATAAAGAGGGTCTCTGCGTTTTAAAAAATTTGACTTAATCAGATTCACCTCTTTTTTTGTAAAATAAAAACTTTATGGAGGCATAATTTATATACAGTAAATGTCTGCGCATTTTAAGTGTACAGTTCAATGCATTTTGACATATACACAACCTTGTAACAACCACTTTAATCGAGAAAGTTCCCTATGTCCCTTTGCAGTCATTCCCTACCTGTCACCTCATGTTGCCACTGATTGGATT